TCGGCAGCTGTCTTAAAGGAAGTCAGGGTAAAATTGATATTCTGTGAGACAAAAAATGATATATTTTTATTATTATTTCTTTGATTTCTTCTTCATTTTTCTCCAAGACGAAATACACATGTTCATACGCGAGTTAGTTTTCTTTCCCAGTCTGTTCGTCGCATGACTTCCTGTTTGCTTGTAAAACAGTCTTTTTTTTCTTTATTTTTAGACTTTTCTAGAATAACTGGATTTCGAATTCATTATCAGTTTGCGACCGTTTTTCCTGGATAAATTGAATTTCTTTTTCTTCTTCCTCTTCTTCTTCTTCCTCTTCTTCTTCCTCCTCCTCCTCTTCTTCTTCTTCTTCTTTCTTCTTCTTATTCGTTTTCTTCTTCTTCCACTTCTTCTTCTTCTTCTTCTTCTTATTCTTCTTCTTCTTCTTATTATTATTATTTTTATTTTTCTTCTACTTCTTCTTCCTCTTCTTCTTTTTTCTTCTTCTTATTATTATTCTTTTTCTTCTACTTCTTCTTCCTCTTCTTCTTCTTTTTTCTTCTTCTTCTTCTTCTTCTTCTTCTTCTTCTTCTTCTTTCTTCTTCTCAGCGAGAGAGTTGAAATATTTTGGAAATATAATGATGAAAGAAGACTTGGGGAATATGACATTAAAAAAAGGCCAAAGAGAAAACAACGAGTAACCTACCTGAGAAACTTGTGTAAATGGATGGCAAGACAGAAACTGGAAGAGGGTACTAAGAAGAAAAACATTCCTAAGACCTACAAATGATGAAAAGTTGTGGAGAGCCATGATACCTCATCTTCTGAAAGGTCACAAAAGAAATATGCTGAGCGAACCTTAGTTGCATTTTGTGGAAGAGAGCACATAATTTAGCGTTGATCAAGCCATTACTCTCACACCCTCGGTCACGATGACTTGTGATTTCGAGCTCACACAATCATCGACACCCTGAATCGACACGGTATATGAAAAAAAGATTTGGATAAAAACGCATCAGAAACAAGACACATGACTTAAATCTTTTTAATATTTTTTATCCAATTCTACGAATAATATATGCTTTTCTAAAAACGAGAAATAGTTGGTCGGAATTTTTAGAATATTTTAAAAATTATGCGAATATTTGTGTTAATTTTATTTCTCAGAACGACGACAATAAGTCCATGCACGTACGTAGACACAGGCGTATGACTTTCGAAAACACCTGCCTTCTCTACATCAAATCATTATTAAATTACGAACAAAATTCTCTGGGAGTTATGTAAATACTAGAGTACTCCTGTCGTCAAAAATGACGACATGAAGGAATGTATTATAAGTAATATGAATTATATTGTAAGTATTTTTCGTTTAATCCAAGTACAATTTTAAAATTTAAAAAAGTTCGTTGTTAACGTTTAATAATTGAACAATGTACAATTTATAAACATAACGAAAGATATCCGTATATTATCCCCATAAATGTTACATATTTACAACCAAAAAATGTCTACTGTATAAGTTCCCAAAGCACTATATTTTTTGTGCAAACCTTGGAAGGTCTGAGTAATCCTCGACAGTCCGTAGATTCAATCTGTTATTTCAGAGCCTGCTTATTTCTTTTCCTACTGAAAGAAATGTATCATCAGATATATTTTTTGTTCCCCCACTTTTTTTTAATTATAATTTTTAAAGTTTAAAATGAATGTCTAAAAATGAACAAAGCATTCTTGAAGATATATGTGGCGCATTATATATACGAACGATTTTCGATAGCGATATCAGTACGCGTCAACGGGACCAAGTTACCATGGCACCGAGTTTTGGGTCATCGTTATTTTGCACACTGCCCCTCAATTCTTACAAACAAAAATACATACACACACACACACACACACACACACACACACACACACACACACACACACACACATATATATATATATATATATATATATATATATATATATATATATATATATATATATACGAACAGAAATAAATTATGAAACACAAGGAATATGTTTTGCTGTTTAATCTAGATTAAATGTACAAGTATTGAGTCGGAACATAAATTCATAGCATTTTATATATATACAGTGTAACCCGGATATAAGAGAGTTGTCGGGATTGGAGAAGAAGTCTCTTATATCCGGGTTTCTCTTATATCCGGGTCTCTTATATCCGGGTCTCTTATATCCGGTATATATATATATATATATATATATATATATATATATATACGACAATATTTAGATAATGCTGCATAGTTTTATTCAACAATATATCTGTCAATTTTATCTAATACTTTTTGTCATCTTTGAAGAAACTTCATGATACAATCCTCCCAGAGCTGGCTGATAAACTAACTTAAGTTCTGTTTACCGGCATCCAGAAAACTGAAGTCATTCTCAAGAGAATTCTGTAAGGATTATGGTAATTCGTATGTGCAAATCAGATGAATAGAGGAAGTGAAGTTGGACATACCATGAGATTGTTGCCTTTAATTGGTCCAATTTTGGAGAGTAAGTGTTTGAATTCAAAGTTTGATCTTTCGGAAGGAGTTTGTAATGCATTACTCTCATTCCAATTCCACCAGATATACAGATTCACCTTCTTTTCATGCAGCAAGAATTTTGGAGTGGTTAACAGTATTAAATTTCGTCCCCCACCCCCGGTCAGGAACTTTCCGCTCTACATTGTTGTAAAGAATCCATTCTTCGTCGCCTTTTTAAAAATGTATATCGGAGAATCGCACATAGTTCATTGTTTCCGTTAATATCGTAAGCCAACCTAATTTCTTAGTGATTTCGAATGCCTTATAGTGTTTCTATATGTGGAGTATCTCGGCGATGTCCCGTGTCGTATTAAATGTCATTATTTTTAATCAACGTTTCAGTTTGGTCATCATCAACACATGTAGCCCATTCATAATTTGCTTTGTCTTACTGATGAAATTTTTCATTTTTGAACTTAGTAAAACACTTACGAACAATGCAATTAGATAAGAAACCATCTGCAAAGATGGCGCCCATCATTTGGCTCTTTATACAGCGTTCTTTCCTTTCAAGAAATAAAAGAACCAAAAATGGCGAAAATACCTCTGATTTTCCATTTTCTTTTTGAACGTAAATGTGTTTAAAATTCACAATCCACACTCAAATCATACAGAAAGAAGTTTTAAAATGTCACTTTTCAGAATATGCAATGAGTCAGAATTATTTTCTGTTTTTATTTATTAGCTTTCTTCTCTCAAAAATATAATTTTATTCAATTATGTTATTTACATTATTCGGACTATTGTACTATTGTCCTCATCTTTGTCACCATCAAGGACACATGGCACACTGGATAAAGGCGTTGGTTAGATCCAGTGACAGGACCCAAACAGTGTGAGTTCAATACCCGGTTAAGGCAGTGGAGAATTTTCAGAGGGAAATTAACAGGAGATAACTGATAACTGACATCCATCAAACATGGCACGTGGAACTAGAACAGTTTACCCCAGTGAGCGAAATAAAGGGTTCAGTTCGACATTCCAACCACCTGAAAAAAGCCGGAGCGTACAACGGCTGAAATGTTGTAATAAATATGGCGACAAAGATGAGAACAATAGTCCGAATAATGTAAATAATGTACATAATGCCTCATCTCAGAAATATAGACGGTTATTCAATTATATATTCACCATCGTTTGCAATGACATGTTGCCTCTTATCAGGCAGCTCGTGTGGGTAAAATTCCTTAGATTTTGATGTGAAAATATTTTCGACAACCTCTAGAATCTGGTTTTCATGAGAGCAAGTTTTCCCTAACAGATCATTTTGCAACGATCGAAAATCGTAAAAATCAGTTGCTGCAAAGGTCAGCTGAATATGGCTGCTGGGGTGGAACAGAACAAAAAAAAATTAGTCTATTTCGCTTTTTATCTTGCAATTGCTTTTATTTTTCATTTTGCTCTGATCAGGAAGAACACGGGTTTTAAATTTCTTTATAAAATTAGTAAAATCGTTTTTAAATATTTTTCTGAAATATTTTCCTGAGAAAGATCTTATCAACCGATAGTAACGCTGACTACTCGGTCAATAAACACCGAATATTTCCCCGTATAGAAACGGTTATTCTCCCCCATTACTATTTCTGTCTGAGCTTACGGCAATATCACGTTGAAACAGGGGTTCCCGAACGATCACCGAAATTAAGCAACGTCGAGACTGGTCTACTTAGATGGGTAACCGCTTGGTAATTACAGGTGCTATAAACTTGGATGTGCGAGTGGTGTAATGGATAATGATTCGGAATTGTTAAGCAACATCGAGCCTGGCTTTACCTAGATGGGTAACTGCTTGGGAGTAACAGGTGCTGTAAGGGTGGATGTGTGAGTGATGTAATGATCCGAGTTTCCATACGATCACTGAAGTTAAGCAACATCGAGTCTGGCCAATACCTAGATGGGTAACTGTTTGGGAATACCATTATTATATTTTAAAAAATCATAAACCCCAAAATATTTTCTGTCTTGAAATAACCTGCAAATGGTTGATAAGCCATAAAAAAACAATCCAAAATATTTCTACCCATATAGGTCTGCATGATTATTATCTTTTGAAGATTACTTTTATTTTCTAATACTACATTGGCGCTTAGGTCTCATCAACTTACAAGTTGAAATGATTAAATGCTAACAGTTTCTCTCTCGTGTTTCTCGCTTATGGAACTCTTTTCCGGCTTCTTGCTTTCCAGTCAAATTTGATCTTCAAAAATTTAAATGCAATGTCAATCCTTATCTTCTGTTTTTGCGTTATTCTCTCTCCTCAATAATGTTTTTCTTTTTCTCATATTTTTCACAACCAGTAACCCGACTTGCGTGTTAGTGGTTTTATTTCCTTACTTTGGGGAGAAATCGTTCTCAAAACATAGTTCTATCCATCATAAAAACGAGGATAAGTCTAGAAGTAATGCAATTTGTTTTATTATATCAGAAATAAGAAACACAATCAAACACATCACACATCAATATATAGCTATACATCACAGGTTCACATCCCTACTTCTGAACATAGTCACCACTCTTTCAATGTCAGTGTTCCACCTAAGAAGGAAGGCATGCGTCCCTGCTTCGTAAAACTCAGGTGGTTGCTGATGTAGTCAATTCTTTATAACATTTTTCATTTCATTATCATCTGAGTTTTATGAAGATGTGATACATGCTTTTATTCTTAGGTGGAACACTGCTATTGAAAGAAGTGGTGATTATGTTGAGAAGTCGGGATGTAAACCTGTGATGTATAGCTATATATTGATGTGTGATGTGTTTGATTGTGTTTCTTATTTCTTATATAATAAAAGAATGGATTAGTTTTTGGCTCACCCCCGTATTTACTTCTTGTTTTTATAGTTACTCTGGACACCTCTTGAAAATAGCTTAGTATTTAAGCCCGGAAAGAGAGATTGCAAGGTTTATCGTTTATTTTTACCACTATTTACCTTTCTTAGGGATACGAAAGAGAATATGTTATCTTTTATATTTTGTCTATATGTACATAAATATTATAAACTTTAATTTATAAATTAACACATGAGGCTTAATTTATAAAGTAAGAATAAGTAAATAAATAAAAATAAATTTAAATAAAAAGATTAACAACAAAAACGGATAAAACAAAGCACAAAAATTACAAAATTATACTGTAAGAAAAAAGTAAAGTTCCAGAGACAAATTTCGATATTGTTCAATGTAAGTGTCAACACTTCTTTTAACTGTAGGGGATGTCTCATATTATTAGATGGTGAGCATAGCTAGTTCTTTTTCAGATTGGTACAATCAATATATGTCCACAATGAGCCTCACCAGTTCTTTTCTAGATTGGTACAGTCAATATATATGCACAATGAGCCTCACCAGTTCTTTTCTAGATTGGTACAGTCAATATATATGCACCATGAGCCTCACCAGTTCTTTTCTAGATTGGTACAGTCAATATATATGCACCATGAGCCTCACCAGTTCGTTTCCAGATTGGTTCAGTCAATATATGTCCACAATGAGCCTCACCAGTTCGTTTCCAGATTGGTACTGTTAATATATGTTCACAATAAGCCTCACCAGTTGTTCATTTCCAGATTGGTACAATCAATATATGTCCACAATGAGCCACACCAGCTCTTTTCACAGTTCATACAGTCGATATTCGTACGCTATGAGAATTACCAGTTTGTTTCACTGTCGATACAATTAGTATTTGTACATGTTTCAAATTCGATGCAATTGACATTTTTACGCGCTGAGCATTACCATTTGGTTTCACGGCCGATACAGTGGATATTTTTACGCTGGATGCATCAGCAGTTCGTTTCACCGTCGTTACAGTTCTTATTTTTCCCCTATGAACATCGCCATTTTGTTTTAGTGTCGGTTTGAGACGAGATACGATTAAAAAGTAGCAGGCCTGTTGCTATGGTAAGTGAACTAAAATAAGTAGAGTGAAGCTGCTTGGCACAGAGTAACCTTGAACTCGATTATAACGTTCTCGCTCACTTCCGTTGTTTATAGCATTGCTTTGAAGGAAAATGTGTAGAGTGTGATGGTCTCACCACACCACAGAAGTTCCATGAATGATCATAACTTATGCAGCAGTTTTTGACCAAAACAAAATTCCCCAAGTCCAACAAACATCATATTTCCAAAATCTCGCTCCTTGCGACTTTTTTCCTCTTCAAAAGTCAAATCCATTTGAAAGAACTAAAACTTCAAGACGTCGCAGAAATCCAAGAGAATGCGACGAGGCAGCTGTTCACTATATCCAAAACGAGTTCTAGTAATGATTCCATCAAGGAAAACGACGCGAGGTAAAGTGTTTGGTTACAGAAAGGCACTACTTCGAAAGAGATTAAATGCCGAATTGATAAGCGTTGTACTTTTTGATCGGACCTCGTTTTGAATACAGTAAGTGTGGCTAATTTCTTTCTCTCACATTTGTAAACTGTAAGTCTCACAAGTTTATTTAGTGTAAAATAACTATGTACACACATATTCTAACTTTTATAATTGATAAAACACCGAAAATCAAGAAAGACATTGCTTTCTGTACTTTTAATAAGAAAGTACTTTATGCGCAACCAGTTTTTGAACTGGGTTCTGATTGGCTGCTTCCTTTCAATATAATTAGAATTCATCCCAGATGTTATAATGAGGTAGTGAAAGATTTTTGATACAACCCACTTCCTAAAACCTTACGAAACGTCGAAGTAATAGATTTATTTTTTTTAAATCTCTTCTCATTCGATAGGAATATTTTTCATCTACCCGAAGATATTTTATTCGCAATTGCATCATTTTCGTTTCGTTTAGTGAATTCTTATTAATTAAAAATTTTGTAGCCAGTTATATTGAAACAATTTTCTAATTTCTTTTATGTAGTTTCTCACATTGACTCGCATTCCTGATGTTTTTATTTATTTTCTAGACTTCCATCAATTTTAATCTATCTTTTCATGCATTTGAATTTATGCACTTCTTTTAATTTCATATTATATTTACTATTTTGAATATTCTATATATTTTCATGTTATATATATAAAAGGTCAACAACAAATGTCGACAGTCTATTTCATGCGTGAACGCAGTCTTCAGGCCATGTGTGTTGGGTTTTTGTTTTAGTTTGTTTTACGGCCTATCAACCTAGTGGGTCACTTAATACCGAAATGTATTTTGTAAATAAAGTTTTGTATTTAAATAATCAAAAGAATTTATTTTAAATAATAAGACTGCTGTTAGTTATAGTTATTTTTTTAAATTATATTTTTTAAATCAATTTTAATTTTTTTTTTAATGTGGCACTGATTGCCATTTTGCTATAAAAATGTATTGTTGCTCATTTTATTATAGAAATGTTAATTTTTTGTTTGGCGTATTCCCTATTTGACCACAGCTAGGACCCTAACCAGTGCTACCACCATGGGTCAAGGTAGACCTGGGAACAACAGCAGTACGAGATGGTTCCACGCTCCTCAAAAGCTGCAATCTTCTGCTTAGAAGCCTTGCTGCCGAATATAGTTTATTGTCCTGAGCATGACAATGAAGTACATAACTAACGGTTATTGAATAAACGGGAATGGTTATAGTTTGAATTCTTCTAAAATCTATAGAGTAGACATAATAACGAGCAAGAATACGGTAAGTTTATAGCTGATGCATAGGGTTTTTGTTTACTTTTTAAAAGATTGAGTAAATCAGTTTCTCACTGTTGGCCTAAGAAATATAAACAGGTGACTGGGAATTTCCCGAAAGTGTTCAAGTCATCCAAAGGTCGTTTGCTATCACTGAAGGTGTTTTAAGTATAAAGAAAACTGGAGTGTCACAAAAGCTACTTACACGGAATTAAATCATCCGCATTTCCTAATTCATTTCGTATTTCAAATGTAATAAGAAAGTTCCACCTGACAGCATTTTCTCAATAATTGCCATTTTGTGGAACAGACCCTTACAAATGTGCAACACATAACACTTGAATCTTGACCTCTTCAAGTTAAGGGTCAATCGACATCTTTCCTCCTCATCCTTATACTCTTCACTTTATCTTTACTCCTTATCATACATCATTATCAAATGTAAATGTATGTTCCTCGAAACTTTTTTTTTATTTCGTGACCCTCGGGGCTGTAGGGGCACCGTGTGTACTGCAGCCACAGTAGAAGTGGTATTTCTTGGACAAGACACCCTGACAAAACCCAACCCTCTCCAGAACGGTTTTAAATTCAGAGTTGTTCCTTCTCCTAGACTGGTTGTTACCCAAGGTTACAGAACATAGTTTGTCCTGCTATTTACACATAACCATTACTTAAAGTCTATTCTTCATCTTTGAAGAGATTGTCTAGCATTCACTACCATATAGGGGGACAGTGTTATAATCATCTCCCGAAAAGCAAGACAATAAAGCCACTAAGTCAGTCAGTCATGTGCCATGCGTGATACACCCTTAGGCGATCATGTATCTTTCGATATATGACTGAAGAGGCAGTTTTTTTTCCCAAAGTAGGTTGCCATTTCTTTCTATGGTAGACTAGTTGCCATCCAAAGCTATATAACTCGGCCTGTCCTGCTATTTACCCATAGCTGGGGGGAGAAGATGATTCATACCTTTCCCAAGGGTATTAGCACGTAAGTGAATGTAATGGATCCGACTGAAATTCGAACTCGGCTCTCTGATTCCTCAATCCGAGCCGCTATCCATCACTCCTCGGGAGTAACATTTGGGTAAATATTTCTATAAAATTTTGGATGCTAATTTTTTCAAGTTATACATGAGAATAGTATTTTAGAACAGAGACAAAATCATTTAACAAGAAAGCTTATTTGATAGTGGAACTTTTAAAACATATTTTGTCTTTTATTACCTCAAACCCATAAATATTATAACAAAAATGTTATTTTAATTTCATCACCATTTCAGTTTTCGTAATTTACAGTCGTACGAAAGAAAATAGATTTCATATCCAAGAGTAATTTCGGAGTAGTAGTGGAAGATTTATCATCTGAAAATAACTATGAAAGTGTAGCTATCGAAATCTCATTGCAATTCTGTGGAATTTTACAGCATTTCTAAAGTCAAACGTCATTTTTCAAAGATCTTATGGAAAAATCAGGACAGCTAGAAATAAATTAAGGAAATTACGTAAAATTTACGCAAATTATAAGCGTCTTGATTTTTTAAAACAGATAGCGAGCCAACGAGTAGAACGAGACATGTTATCAATTTATTTGTACATTATTTTTTTTTAAGAGATTTGAAACTTCATGCTATTTCAAGAAAAAAAAAGCAATTATTTCGACAAGCTTTTTGCAATGCAGTTCTAATCAACGAGCTCACCAAAATAGTAATGAACATCGTAATTCAATTCAGGAAAAAAATATATAAAAAAAAAAGAGACAGTACATTGATTATCGATTGGACTAATTTTTCCGTCAGAAAATCTAAAAAATCGATTTTCGACATTGAACTTTTTCACTTTCTCCATAAATAAACGACAATCATTGTCTGTTTACGTCATAGCTCTCAGATAGTAAATTTTGAGTTAGCACTTGGCTAGCATCGACGAGGACACTTAGTTTTCGATATTTTTATTTACTCTTCCTCGTTTGTCAAGAAAAGTTAATAAAAACTGTTTACACGTTTATTTACACTATTTACATTGTTCGGATTGTAGTCCTCATCTTTATTGTCATATTCACGACGTTCCAGCCGTTGTACGCTCCGGCCTTCATCGGGATTTGTCTCTATTTCTGAGATAAGGTAGTGTAACTATTTACACTCTTTACATTGTTCGGATTTTAGTCCCCATCTTTATTGTCATATTTACGACGTTTCGACCTTCATCAGGATTTGTGTATACTTCTGAGATGAGGTAGTGTAACTACTATTTACACTATTTACATTGTTCGGACTGTCGTCCTCATCTTTATTGTCATCTTCAAGACGTTTAATTGTAATTTTCTAAAAACCCCGTTTTAATTCTAAGTTTTAAAAATCTCGTATTAATTATAAATTCCTAAAAACTCGTATTAAGTGAACTTTTCTAAAAATCTCATATTAAATATAATTTCTAAAAATCCCGCATTAATTATAAGTTTCTAAAAATCCAGTATTAACTATAGGGTTCTAAACACCGGTAATGAGTTTTAATAGTCCTGTATTACTTATAGGTTTGTAATATATATATATATATATATATATATATATATATATATATATATATGTGTGTGTGTGTATATATATATATATATATATATATATATATATATATATATATATATATATCTTTCTAAAAATCCCGTTCTAATTATGTTTATCAAAATTATGTATTAATTATAGGTTCCTATAACTTCCATATTGATTATAAGTTTCTAAAGAACTCGTATTAATATTGGTTTCTAAAAGTCCCGTATTAATTATATGTTTCAATAAATACCGTATTAATTATATGTTTCAGAAATTCCAGTATTAATTATAATTTTATAAACATCCAATTTTAATTATAGTTTCCTAAAAACACGCTATAGTTATAGGTTTACAAAACTCCCGTATTAGTTTTAGTTTTCTAAATAATCAAGTATTATTCATAAGATTCTAAAATTCCTATATTATTACTTTCTAAAAATCTCGTTCTAAATATGTTTCTGAAAATCACGGATTAATTATAGGTTTCTAAAACTTCCATATTAATGATAAGTTTATAAAAATCTTGCATTATTTATAAGTTTCCAAAAATCCCGTGTTAATGATAACTTTATAAAAATCCTGTATTAATTATAGATTTTTAAAAAACCCTATTATTTATAGGTTTTTAAAAATCCCTTAAAGTCCCGTATAAATTATAGCTTTCTAAATCTCCCTTACTAATTATAAGTATCTAAAAATCCCGCATTAATTATGGTTTCTAAAAATCTCGTATTAATCATTTTTTTAAAAATCTCATAATAATTATAGGTTTCTAAAAATCCTGCATTAATGAAAAGTTTCCAAGTAGCCCGTATTAATTATAGATTTCTAAAACTCCCGTATTAATTATAAGTTTCTAATAATCCCGTATTAATTTCAGATTTCTAAAAGGCCCATATTAATTATAATTTTCTAAAAAATTCTGCATTAATTATAAACTTCTAAAAATCTCGAATTAATTATAGGTTTTTAAAATCATGTATTAATTAAAAGTTCATAAAAATCACATATTAATTATAGGTTACTAAAAGTCTCGGATTAATTATAAACTTCTAAAAATCCCGAATTAATTATAGGTTTCTAAAATCCTGTATTAAATAAAAGTTCATAAGAATCACGTATTAATTAAAAGTTCCTAAAAATCACGTATTGATTAAAAGTTCCTAAAAATCCCGTATTAATTTTAGGTTTCTAAAAGTCTCGGATTAATTATAGGTTTTAAAAAATATTCTCTATTATTTATTTTATTATTTATTCGGTCGATCCAGCTCGGACATTCATACTTCTATTACGTCAACCATCATACTTGGATGTTGGATTGTTATTACGGTGGCTTCCTGTGTCGTTACATTGTTGCACAATGTAGTTGATTGCTGAGCTATCAACCTTTCTTGCGCCATGAGCAGGATTTCGCCATGTATCGAGTGCAGTGTATCAAAAGCTTTGCTCGCCAGCAGCGTCATGCAAATCGCATTCTGTGTTCTCGTAAGATTGCACAAATCTCGGGGTTATTCTCATGTAGGTTTTACTTTTCCACCAAGACACTCATGTCGATATCCTGCAAAAAAGGTTGACCAATATCAACTATTCAGATGACCTAGCTATTACTGTGGCATTGGTTAAGGTGTCCATTGCTAATACAGCAGCTCTTCTACATCTAGAAATTACTGCCAACGATGATGGACTCTTATGTCAATGTCTCTAAAATTGAATTCATACGCTACAACTAACACAGCTGAATAAAAACTTAGGTGAATTAATAAAATCTATCGAGTCATTTACATACCTAGGCAGTGAAATAAATT